AATAATGGAAACTGTTCGCTTAGGTAAATAATAGATGATAGATAGATAGATAGATAGATAGATAGATAGATAGATAGATAGATAGATAGATAGCAATCAATAGCAATAGCAATAGCAATAGCAATAGCAGTTAGACTTATATACCGCTTCATAGGGCTTTCAGCCCTCTCTAAGCGGTTTACAGAGTCAGCATATTGCCCCCAACAACAATCTGGGTCCTCATTTCACCCACCTCGGAAGGATGGAAGGCTGAGTCAACCTTGAGCCAGTGAGATTTGAACCGCTGAACTGCAGATAGCAGTCAGCTGAAGTGGCCTGCAGTACTGAACTCTAACCACTGCGCCACCTCGGCTCTAGAACAGTGATGGTGAACCACCAAGTGCACAAACTGCGAGGGCACAGGCAGAAACTGAAAGGTGTGCACTCACGCGAATGCACGGACATGTGCACATATGCAGCAGAGACCCAAACACCAGCTGGCCGGTGGGAGGCAGGGCATCCCAACACAGGCAGTGTGGCAAGACGTAAGATATTTTTCTTTCGTGAGCTTCTGTATTGTTGTTTGCAGGGAAACAGAAACTCACTAAAGAAATGCCACGGAGGTCTGACCTGGGACAATGGCACATGTGTCAGCACTGAGGGCTCTGCGTGCCATGGTTCGCCATCCACAGCTATAGAAGCTTAATTAAAAGGAGAAGAAAGTTGCCTCCCTATTAATCTGATGCTGATGTTATCTGTGTCACATATGAATAGCTACAGGCTGTACTTTATCTAAAGTAGGAGGTTAATCTGAAATCTCATGTGTTCAGAAATGATTTCATAACACCCAAGCAAAGTGTTTATGGGCTGGCTCTTGTCTCTAAATTTTTAAACCAGTATAGATTTTCTTCAAGCAATAAGCATTCCAGTGCTATCCCAGAAGGATAGCCAAATGACTATTCTACAAATGTCTATTTAGCAACCAGCAAGAAGTCGCTCTTTTTCAATTACTAAGCACCATTGTGAATGAACTAGCGGTATTGATTTAAAGTAGGTTTATCTGCTAATGGGATTTGAATTTGTTTATTCTTAAAGATTTCCTGCAGAAAAATTGTACCTGCTGGATGGGGGGGGGAGTCCTATGCCCCCCCCAAAGTTAATAAGTAAATGTTTTTCTAGGCAATCCTGCTATAAGTAAACTTGGTATTTAAAAAGGAAGTTATTTGGTTCTGTTACATATCTCTGAGTTCCTAGTTAAGAAAGGAGAAAATATTAAATACAGCTTTGTCTGAATGAATGGAATTGAATAAATGTTAGCTAATTTATTTTTAAAAGTACCAGTAGTTGAGGTTTGGATGAAGTGCAGATTCCTCTGAGTAATTCATTTTACTTAGTTAAAAAGAAGTTCCTTATTCTATTGCCAATATTTGAATTATTTCATAACTTTAGAATAAGAATTCTAGAGAACCGTAATCTGTGTTTTCAATGTTAGGCACTTTTGTTGACTTCATAAATCTTTTAGTCTTGTGACTGTACCCATTAATGTTCTACATATTCCGGATAATTATTATGGCAATTAGACCAATGAGCTAGTCATATCAAAAGCTAAAGATGAAAAATGTAGCCAAATGAAACATATTGGCATTTGTTTTAAATGGGCAATTCTGCTAGAAACAGTGTTAAACTAGAGCTGGCTACAGCCTTATAAGTGGTTTTATTTTATATGCAATAAGCTGCTTGTATATTGGAGAGACATTTCACTACACAATGAAACCTTTCATACTTCATATATTTCATAAAGGTGAAATATAGTCAAGCCACCTTCTGGTGCCAGGCAGTTTCCTAATAAACCACTTTTCCTTGATGTTGGAAGCCTTTTACTATATACAGACACTCCTTAAGTTCCACATGACAAACATGTAGTTGTTTTACTGTAAGTACTTTCAAAGATATTGAACTAGGCTAAATGCCATATAAATTTGCAACTGGGTACCTATTTTATGTTCTTAAATTTAAAAGACCACAGAGCTAGTAAGCATATTTGTTGCAAGCATAGCAGAGATCTGCAGAAACACAGTGGATAATAGTCTAGTTCTCTAGAAATTCTGCTTTCTCTTAAGCATATCTGCTGAAGTTTAGTCTCTGGTCATAGAGACACAAATATCACAAAAGGGTCTCAAATCAGTCCATGGGATGGGGGTTTACCACACATCTGGAAAGAGAGAAAAATGTCTTCTGTTACTCTTGTGAGTGTACCTGTTACACTCACAATTTATTATGGAATAAGAGTGAAAATAATAGAAAGCCACCAGCATTATCAGTAGCCAGAAACCAGCCAGATGAATTTAATAAGTCCAGATACAACAAAACAGGAGCCAGTTAATGACATTGCTTATATTTTGATCATAATATTTAGTGTGCTTATTCCCCCCCCCCTTCAATTTCTGTAAAATTTCTGTACAAAAGACTGTTCTGAAGTCAAGATACTTAAGTTGGGTGCCACATTTGTTTGAATCAGTTTTGGTATGCTTCCTGCCTCAAAATAGTGAGAAATCATTTCATTGTTTTTGGACAATTGAACAACTTAAGTTTGAAGAATGCTTCAGGAGCCATCAGAAACGACAGGGAGGGAGGCTGAAGGCAAATTTATCTTCCATCACCCCAAATTTGTAGATGTATCTGGGTAATATCTCTTACATAGAATAGCTATAAATTTGATACATTCATTCATTGATAAATCAATAAAGGATATTTTTCTGAAACTTTGCTTCATTAATTTACCTATCTTCTCTACTGTTCTTGACTTATAATGAAATTGAATCTCAGTGTTTACCAAAAAATCAGCATATATTAGCTTAAATTGGGTGTGTGGGTGTCCGCCGTCCACTGTCTATCCACTGCAGGATGAAGTCCTCTTCCACATGTTTCCAACCTATACGGTCCTAAGCGTTCTTTTTTATTGCGGGCCCAATATATTCGCAAAGTCTTTTTGAATGAAATTTGACTTCTTAGGACTTTTTGGCTTAAGTTTTCTTATAAAGTTTTCTTGCCAACAAAAAAAAAATGTTTGCCATGTTCTTTTTCTAATGTGTACACATATGTACATTTATTTCCAGTTTATTTTACAAACTTGGAATTTCCTGATGGCTTCTTATCCTACCCTATTCAAATCTGACCTTGCTTTGCTTTTTGAAGTCAGGCCAAGATCACTTAGGTGCTATCATTCACAATTATATTTAAAATAAAAGATTTGCATGCGTTGATATTTGCATAGGAAATGATGAAAATAAAAAATACGTAGTGCAAACAATAGATACTCATATGAAGAGCATGCTTTGAAAACACTACAGTTTAAAAAATTATCTACTGTGGAATCGTATATCCTTTACATTTTGATTCACATTCCTTGGGTAATGTGCAGAATATAAGTGCCTCTTTGTTGTGGAGTAGATAGTATTGTAAAATATTTATGTTTCTTCCTGTAAATGCAACTCTTGCAATCCATAATTGTAAAAGAAACATAGAGCAGAAGGTTGTGGACAAGAGTATCCCAGTCTCTTAACAGAAATGAAATTCCTTATATTACATATACTATTCTTTTGGAAGAACCAGTTAAACATATTTCCTTGGTATATCTTTTATAAGAAGATATTAATATTATACACCTTAAATTACTATTCGGTTTAGATTAAAAATACATTTTTGGATTACCCCAGAATATACAAGGTTTAAAAATGCTTGAGTTTTTAAATAGCATATCCACTTAGTCCAATGCAATCAGTCTTACAGGTTTAAAGATGCTTAAGTTTTTTAAATAGCATATGCCCTTAGTCCAATCAAAGTCAAATCATGTCTTAATCCAATGCAATCAGCCTTATAGATCTATTGTGTGCATAAAAAAGATAACCCATACATGTTATTTATGCTATACGGAAGTAAAAGAGGACCCAAATGTAACATAAAGTTTGAAAAACTAGGTAGCTGAAGTTAGAAGTAAAGGATTGCACTCTTCCTTCATTCTTTCTGAACATGTAGATTCAAACGTTGAAAAGGGGAAAATCAGCTCTGCATTCTTACTAATTCTTCCTCATTCCCATAACTGGCCCTCTTAACAGAATAAAACTGCTTGCTTAATTGGACCATCCAGTCCAGAAACTATCTAACGTAAGACTCCCCATGTGTTTTAGGGCTTCTTTGTTGCCCCCTTTATTATTAAGTACATCAGGAATGAAATACCCATTTTTTCCCAGTTGTCAGGAGCATTCAGTGGGTTTTTAAAAAATATTTTGATAACCTTCCAATTTTTCTGTTTCCAAGTGTTTTCAGGCCATTTAAACATTTATGTTTCTTATTTAATTTGTTTTGTCATGTTAATTTACAGGAAATTATGCTATCAATATTCATCAGAGTGTTGTCCATTTCAGCCATGGAGTCTGAGCCTCTTCTTTTGTGCTTTATGTTTTAATGATATAATGTATATTTAACAGGTGCTAGTCCTGATTTCTTTCAGTTTTGGGTTGTTTAATATAAATTAAGACTAGCAAGTCTTATCTTTTCCAGAATTGCTTATTTGAATTTTGGCTTAATAAGACATATTTGAATATGGGTTAGGGGTGGAAATCTAACATCTTTTCTCCATTTTTCTACAGATCCCAGAGGATGGCAGAAGAAGCCAATCACATCCACCCAATGCTTGAATTGGCAGAGGAAACTTATGGCAAAGGGAATGATCATTCCAGGATCTCTCTAGAATATCTAGGAAAAAGTACAGATATTAAGGCTTACATGCTAAAGAAATGGAAGAAAAATTGCAGTTGTAGCCCAGCTAAAGCCAAAGATCTGCTTTTCAGTTTTCTTCCAGTACTGACGTGGCTCCCCAAGTATAAACTGAAGGAGTATTTCTTGGGTGACCTTATGTCTGGCATAATTGTAGGAATTTTGCTAGTTCCACAGTCCATTGCTTATTCCCTTTTGGCTGGCCAAGAACCTGTCTATGGTTTATACACATCATTTTTTGCAAGCATCATTTATTTTCTATTTGGAACTTCACATCATATCTCGGTTGGCATTTTTGGTGTACTCTGCTTGATGGTGGGAGAAGTGGTAGAACGTGAATTACAGATTGCTGGGTACGAGTCAATATTGGGTGATTCTAGCAATTTTTCTGTTACGAATGATCTCATAAATGTCACAATGGTGTCTTGGACTGCCAATGAGACTTCACAGAAAGTATGTGATAGGAGTTGCTATGCAATTACTGTTGGCGCAACTGTGACTTTCATAGCTGGAATTTATCAGGTAAGAAATTGCAGTTAAAGGGGATCCATCTGATATCAGTTCTTTACCTTTTGTGGGCTTTGTTTGCAAGTATGCAAAATTGAAGATAGGTAGATATAAAAACTGCTTAGATTTCTCTCCTGTATCCTACAGTCATACAGGTAAAAAAATGTAATAGTGAATAGATTGCAATTCTAACAGCTATAATCTTAAAACAGCAGGAAGGCGACCAATTCTGCAAGGCAATTTTAGTATTATAACTATACTTTGAATTAAAGGAATGAACATCTGTAATCCTTACAGATTGCACCAGGTTGGACTTGTATTTTGAAATTTATTTAGGAAAAATACTTAATATTCCCAAATTTAATTTTAAAATATTTTTGATACGTTATATTGCTTGTTTTGCAAAGGAGCTGCATCGTTGATCCTGAATAGAGGTATGAAGTATTTGGATGCAAACCAAGTAGATGGTGTGCTTCATCCTTAATACCTTTTCATGATCTGAGGCCTTGTGGCTACTATACAATCCCAGGAAAAGATACAGTTCCCTTAAGGTGCCACCAGTAGATGTGACAAAAGTTGGCATGCTAGATCTGATGAACCTTTTTTGCTTTGTTTTCTTTTATTGCCCATTTCCAATACTAAAGGTTTTTTCACATTAGTAGGATGGACAAAGGATATTTATGAAGTGACTGTAGGATTCTGAGTTTTCTTCCCAATAGTTTTTATTAAGGATTTTATTAAACATAAAACGCATAGAGAAACCTAATATGAATATGTAAATATAGTTGATATATGTAGATATTGATAGAGATTGACAGATGTAAATAGATAGAGCTATATTGTGGAAAAAATGGAAAATGTTGCTCACAAAAAAGATAGCCAAAAGAACAACAACATCCTTTCCTCTTCATCCTCAGGAGGCATATTTAACATCAGACAAATTTATGTCAAAGTAAACATGCATATCACAATTATATCATGTACAGTATAAGGGTTAGGTGGCAATCTTAAGAAGTAGAAATTTAAAAACAAACAAGAAAGTTCTTAATAAACAAACAGTAAACATGTTGAAGAACCTGAAACAAACACATAGCTATTTGTATTCTGAATAGCATAATATATCAAGACCTATCATAACATGTAGTTCACCCTCATTTCCTTTGTAAATACAGAAGTGTCATCTAATCTTCTGCCTTTTTCTTCAGGTTGCTATGGGCTTCTTCCAGGTGGGCTTCATCTCTGTGTACCTCTCTGATTCCTTGCTCAGCGGATTTGTGACTGGCGCTTCCTTAACCATCCTTACCTCACAAGCCAAATACCTCTTGGGCTTAAACTTTCTACGGAGCAGTGGCATTGGTTCTCTTTTAAAAACATGGATAAACATATTCAGAAACATCCATAACACCAACATCTGTGACCTCATCACCAGCTGCTTGTGCCTTCTTGTTCTTATTCCAGCAAAAGAGTTAAATGAGCGGTTCAAATCAAAACTTAAGGCTCCCTTGCCCACTGAGCTCTTAGTGGTCATAATAGCCACATTGGCTTCTCATTTTGGGATGCTGAAAGAGAAATACAATTCCAGTGTGGCTGGACATATACCAACTGGATTTCTACCACCACAATCACCAGATTGGAGTCTGATTCCTAGCGTGGCTATGGATGCAGTGCCCATAGCCATTATTGGCTTTGCCATTACTGTATCTCTTTCCGAGATGTTTGCCAAGAAACATGGTTATACGGTTAAACCCAACCAGGAAATGTATGCCATTGGTTTCTGCAACATCATCCCGTCTTTCTTTCATTGTTTCACAACCAGCGCAGCCCTTGCCAAAACTCTGGTGAAAGATGCGACAGGCTGCAAGACTCAGCTCTCTGGTGTGGTGACTGCTTTGGTCATCTTGTTAGTTCTCCTTGTGATTGCTCCCCTCTTCTATTCCCTTCAGAAATGTGTGCTAGCGGTCATCATCATTGTCAACCTCAAAGGGGCCTTGCGGAAATTTGGTGACCTGCCAAAAATGTGGCGGTTAAGCAAAATAGACACACTGATCTGGTTTGTCACTATGTTGTCTTCAGCATTGATAAGCACTGAACTTGGTCTTCTTATTGGGGTCTGTTTTTCAATGATTTGTGTCATTCTGCGGACGCAAAATCCAGAAGGACAGCTCCTTGGTCTGGTACCAGACTCTCAAATCTATGAACCTCTTTCTGCCTATACTGGCCTTCAAGTTGAGGCAGGCACCAGACTTTTTCGCTTTGAAGCACCAATATATTATGCAAATAAAGAGAAGTTTAAGTCCTTGCTATACAAGAGGACCGGAATCAATCCTTCATTGGAACTGGCAGCAAAAAGAAAGCTAGAAAAGCAAATACGTACTGAAAAATCCGATGGAACCAGTGGAAAACAGGCAGAAACTTCGGTGCAGCTTGTCACTCAGCAACTCGCATTCCATACACTAGTAATAGACTGCTGTGCAGTGCAGTTCTTGGATACAGCAGGGATCCATACACTCAAGGAAGTTCAAAGGGATTATGGGGAAATTGGCATCCAAGTGCTGCTGGCTCAATGTAATCCTTCTGTGAGGTACTCCTTGAAGCAAGGGGAATATGTTAAAAAAGGAGAGAAGCATTGTCTCTTCCACAGTGTGCACCAAGCTGTGGAATATGCATTGTGTACGTATAAGCATAATGGCAGCTGTGCCTCTGAAACCTAATGTAAGTAGAAGCTTCCTGTTTAATGACACTAATAATGCTGGGCATTATATATACTGTTATCTCACAAAGTTGTAAAAGGCAATGTTTTTTTCACTAACTGTTGATCATACAAGATTATAAACAAATTCATTTTGCACCTTTCATTTTGCTCTACTGAATCATGCACTTGGAAAATGGTGATGTATCCTATGCATGAGTGATAACTACACACATAAGTTGTGCTTGGCCGGAAGAACAAATACTCAAAAGTTTAATGTGTGTGCATCACAAAGTGGGCCCTTCTGGTTTGGATGCCTTTAGGGCCAAAAGTCTTCATCCCACACTGCTGGGGAGGTAGTGTCACTACCATTCAGGGTGTACCTTTCATGGAAGGAAAAATTCCTGCTGCTTTATGCTTTTACTCTCCCCCTCTCCCCTTCTAACAACTCCATTGATGCCTTTCAGGAATGCTTCTGAATTATGTGGGTGTGTCGTGATAAACTATTTGAGAAGGAAATATCTCAGAAAATTGGAAATCCATCCTGATTTGGGGCATTTATCCCCACTTTAGAAATCTCACCCCCACATTACCGAATATGGAATAAACTGTGTCAAATTAGGTGGGCGTGGGAATTGGTGTGTCATTTGAAATGCAGGTGGCCCTCAACTTACAACAGTTTGTTTAGTGACCATTCAAAGTTACAACGGTACTAAAAATGTGACAACCATTTTTTACAGTTACAACCTTTCCAGCATCCCCATGATCGTGTGGTCAAAATTCAGATTCTTGGCAACTGGTTCATATTTATCACCCTTGCTGTTCCCAGGGTCATGTGATCCCCTTTTGCAACTGACAAGTAAAGTCAAGGGGGAAGCCAGATTCACTTAACAACAGGGTTACTAACATCAACTGCAGTGATTCATTAAACGGTGGCAAGAAAGGTCACTTAAATGTCTCACTTAAGAGAAATTTTGGGCTTAATTGTGATCATAAATCGAGGACTACCTGTACACTGTATGAAGCACCTACAAATAGTTCTCAAGTTATAGCTACATTGTACAGTAGATACTTAATTCTGTTTAGACTTTATTTAGGAAACAGAAACACTAACTCTTAGCAAAACTAACAGATGGTGACCAAACTAGTTAGAATATGTTAGTTCTTTGTATGTTTGTGCCTCAAAATAATTAGTTATCACTATTAAATAAGGAATCTGATGAATAATCATTTTACAGGTAAACTATAGACTTTCATTGTGCTTTTCTTTTTATGTGTATCCCAAAACTTTGCGGAAATAAGATCATTATTTTGAAAATTTCAGGCCAGATATATGAAATTCTAACTGAAAATGAAAGCATTACTGGCATATCTTAAAGATTCCTTTCCATTAGTTGTTAATAGTGCTGGAGCTGTCATAAAAGGATATTGAGGGAGTTTGGCAGAAAATATCTTTGATAAGGAATTCTTGGAACTTCTGCATTGCTATTAGTTTTCTTGGCACAAAAGAGTAGGGTTGTAACCAATATTAAAGAAGACTTCTTTTACAAGCTCTTCTGGAAAAATTAAATGGAATGCCTCTAGAGCAATAGAATACTATAATTTGTTTATAAATAAATGTTTGTAACTGGTTGTGTCCTAGCAGCAATTTCATGAGAGCATCCATGACGTTTTCTGAAAATTCCAAACATGTCCAACAGCTGAAAAGGGTTATTTAATCAAGCATCTATAAACCACATTAACTGTGGAAACCATGGTGACTTGCTTAGAGAAGTTCAGTTTGCATATGTGCTTTCTTTTACCCATTCTGCTTATTGCCAGCTAGTTGCAATTGTTAATGTTAAATCCTAATGTTGTAAATGAAGTGAGACAAAAGATATGCCACTTGCTGCTTTTACATGCAACTTGTAATTTATGGCTAAATCTCTAGGGGGCACAATTTACTAGAGAAGTACCTGCTTGACTTTTTTAAAAAATGATTAAGAATTAATTATGTCTAACTTCAAAAGATACTGTAAATTGCAGTGGGGGTTGATTGTATTTATTTGTTAGGTAATGGTGCCTTTTCCCTGTTACTTCTGCATAATAGATTACAATTTTAGGAAAAGGCTTCTCGACTTTTTAAAAATTACCATAAAATTACTTTCACTGTTTAAAAATATTTGATTTTGTGAAATATTATGAAACAATATAGTGAAGTCTTATTATTAAGAGAACAATGTATATATTTCTCTCATAGCTACTAAAATACAATTCACAACTGGAAATCACACTGCAGTAAACATATTTTATTGAAATTGGTAGATTGGAAGCCTTTTAAAATAAAAGGCCCACAAATCTAACAATTTCAATACAGTATCTGTTTTACTGGACTGGAAAAATCATTATGTGACCATTCCCTCCTCTGTTGCTATTTCAACTGTTTTGTGTGGTTTTCAGTTAGTTGTTAAAGAACTGCAGATGTATTATCTCATTTGAAACTATATTATGAAAAGTCATAGTTAAGTAGTTTCTACTTCAGCATTACATGCTGATGGAAACTTTTTGCTTCACTTGAGGTTGTTGTGAAATGTTGTGTCCTTGAATAAATGCATTCTAGGGAGATAGCAGACTATAGCTATTTTCACAGGAAATAGGTGTATTTGTCAACCAGTCATCTCTGAAAGGATCATAGATGTAAATCTATTCAATATTGCATCCAGAGGAGACAAATTGTTACTATGAGTCTACCAGTAATTTTCCAAAAATAACCATGCATGGAAACTAGTCTTAAAGATTTAAGGATTACATTTTCTATGTATCTTAGATTTAAGAACAGAAAAATTCAACAGAAAATTAATAGGTTCACAGGTTTTACAAAGGCACGTTACAATATTTTTTGCCTTAGTATGTGATATTAACAGCCACTGTAGTTACTGGGTAAACTAAGATTAAGCAAAAATCATGGCTTAATGCAAGTACTAATCTAAATAAAATTAATCTGAATGAAGAACTGTTAATTTTTAATGAGAAATAATGTTCTCCTTGTAGGAAGTTAGCACCCACCCCTCTCCTTTTTGTTGTTACTTGCAAAGTCATGTCGAACCCATTGCGACCCCATGGACAATGTTCCTCCAGGCCTTCCTGTCCTCTACCATCCTTTGGAGTCCATTTAACCTCACGCCAACTGCTTTGGTAATTCCATCCAGAATGAAATATTTTAGGAAATATTAAAAGGGTAGAATATTTCCCCTAAATGGAGGCAAAAATCAGCCCCTTCCCCCACCTTTGTTAATGAGCCATTAAGGCCTGGGACAGTCTATTCTACATAACAAAGATCTACCTCCTTCAGGCAGACCCGTTTAATTTCTCATTGCATCACCCAGCGAGATTCAACCAAACCTAGCACACAGACAACCTACAAATTTATTCCTGCATGACCCTATGGGAATCTGACAACCAATCAGAATACAAGCTCAAATTCAAAGCCCAACAGAGGGTATAAATCTCTCTCTCTCTCACACCCATGTGCTTTGTTTGCCCAGGATTTCAAACCATGTGGTCCTGCCCACCATTAAAACCATCTTTTCAAGCAGTTTCCACTGTCTTTCTCCCCACTTGGAACTGAACCCAGATGGACATTTCTTCCAACACCCTGCTTAATCTTTTAAAATGAAGCAGAAGTTAATTTTACAGAGAATATTTCTGTGTGCTAATGGAAGAGTAACATTCATCAAACTTCAGTTATAAATGTGGAATCTTTCTCCCACTTAGAGATGCTGCTTATAGCTGTTTCAGTTGCTTCTAGAATGTTTAATACACTATAAATGCAGGCATTCAATAACTGAACATATTTTTAAATGATACTTAAAATTATACTACTAATTTTATTTTGCATTTACAAGATTGTAATCATAAACGTAAGCATTCCTGCTTGAAAATTTTCCCTTAATTGCCTTGCCACATTCTTACATAGCCCTAAGTAATTTTGATATTTGCTTTTTTGCAAAAACATAAAGATATGGCATAGAGCAAAAGAGGCATGTACTGATTTGCAATGAATGTAGCCATTATTTTTCTCTGCTTTGCTAATTTATTTTTTCAGAGGCTGTTGCATTTGCAAGAGTATTTTTGAAAACTGCTACAATTTTTCCCCACATGGCAAGCTCCATATCTTTATTGTCATGGGCAACAAAATGCCTTTTGCAGAAATTTTACGCTTATTGTCTAATAGTAGTATATTCATGTGTGCCTTTCTTTTATCATCTGCCACCACAGATTTATTTAAAAGACTCCTAAAAGTCCCTGAGGGGCAAAGAACAAGATTAGTTCTGGGGACTGGTGAATCCAATGGATACAATTAAAGTGGTTCAAATATCACTATGGAGCTACTTGTTTCCAAACCACTTTTTCTCTGGAAAGAGTCCATCAGATGATTGGTGAAAGATAACAGTATGAGAAAATGGGTGAGATCACATGTTGATTCTCTTACTACAGTTAGAAAACTCAGCTGCTACATATGAAGTTGCTTGGTGGTGGTTGGTTTTTATTCCAGATGTTGTTATTACACATTGTTCATAGGTACTTCAGTGAGAAGTGATTTAAATGTATCATCATTATTGTTTGAAGAGCAGTGTGCTTTATTCGGAACAACAGCATGCCAACAGAAATTAAATGTTTAGTTGCAATCCTTTGGATTGTTGTTACTATTGGCCACTGTACATTGGTATGTTCTTTTTAAATGAGAGTAGTTCATCTTCAGCTCTGTTGTAATGCGATTGTGTAGAACTAAAAATTGGGAATTTTTGGCTTTCAATTCAAATGTTTTATTTTCATTTTTTTTTCATTTTCATTTCTTACAGTCACATATATACTGTGCATGATTGGGGCCATATAACATTAGGCAATAAACACAGCCATCCTTGTACTCCCCAAAATACAAAACCAATATA